ATTGTTGCCTCAAAACAAATGATCTAAAACATTAGGGTTACCGCTAAGGCGTCCTAACATTGCTTTAGTGACCGTAAGTCCCTCATTCGAATTGACCCTTAAACTCCAACGACGGTGCTACCTACTCATCAATAATAGGATAGCATTGTCTAAAGGAAATTAGCATAGAACGATTCCTTTTTCGAGTAGGTAGATGGTTCTTAGATCTTGCTCTTTCAAAAAACAAAACTCTTTTCACACTTACACTCCTTTTCGAACAAAGTTTTCAAAAACACTTCATACGCTCTTGAGGACAGAAGCAAAAGTTAAATCAAAGTTTCAAATAAAAAACTTTTTCAAACCCACAAGCACAAAGAAAGCAATTTTGAAAACAATTGAGCAAGTACCTAAGATCCCGTGGATAACCACGGATAGAAAGGGTGCTAACACCTTCCCTTTCTATAATCTACCCCCCGAACCCGAGAAATATCTCGAAAAAGGAATTTTTCTGTGCTTTTTTCCTTTTCTTATTGGATAAAATAAAAGACGGTGGCGACTCTTGCTTACCGCGACATTTTGCAAAAACAAACGCAAAACGTAAACCAGCATTCCAAAAATAGCCAGTTCTTCCCACTGTATCACAGACACCTATCGCCAAACAACACCAACCCATACCACCAAAGCCACCTATTCGACGACTTTCTCAAGCACAACTACAGGAACGACAAGCTCAAGGTTTGTGTTTCAATTATGATGAGAAATTTGTGTCTGGCCACCATTGTTCTACTAGCCGTTTCTTGTTGCTAGTTTCGGTAGATGAGTATATAGAGGACCAGCAAATTGACATTGAAGATAATAATGAACAAACAATTGAGGATCCTAAGGAGACGTATTTTCAGTTGTCTCCACAAGTTGTAACGGGCCAATTTGCACCCGAGACCCTGAAATTCAGAGGGTTAATTGGTGGCCTTTCGGTTATGGTATTAGTGGATACAGGCAGCACCCATAACATCATGCAGCCCCACATCGCCCATCATATTAACCTATAAGCTACCCTAATCCCACAATTTTCTATCATGGTGGGAAATGGTTTCCATTTACAATGTGGGGAATGTGCCATAATGTCCAACTCAACCTTCAAAACACTCATTTCACCCTTCATTTTTTCAAGTACAGATCTGATTCAAATTTCTTGATATACAACATAGGATCCTGCTATATATTCAGCTTCACAAGTTGATAATGCCACCACAAGTTGTTTCTTCGAACACCATGAGATTGAGGCACCAAATACTTGACAGAAATATCCAGTTGTGCTTCTTCGATCTTCCTTATCTCCACACCAATCAACATCTGAAAAACAATTAACTATTACTTCTTTGTCTTTATAATCTTTTCGAAATAGTATTCCACAGTTTATCGAACCCTTCAAATATCTCAGGATTCTTCTTGCAGCCTTCATATGTGACACTCTTGGTTCACTCATATATCTACTTACTAATCCTATAGAGAAACCTATATCAGGTCGACTGTTGCACACATACCTCAGAGATCCCAGAATTTGCTTATACGAAGTTACATCGACTTTGTCTTCCTCTCCATTCTTCTACAATTTCACATTTGGTTCGGCAGGTGAGGATGCAGAATTCGAATCATCTATTCTGAATCTCTTGCGTATTTTTTTGACATACTTCCTTTGATGTAGCACCATACCTTGCTTCGACATTTGAAATTCCATACCTAAAAATAAGACAATTTTCCTAGATCAGAAATTTCAAATTCCTTCACCATTACCTCTTTGAACTTCGACAAGTTCTCCAAGCTATTTCCAGTCACTAGCAAGTCACCGACATATAAGCAGATGATTGTTATATCTTGTGCTACAACCTGAACATAGACACCATACTCAGATCTGCATTTGATAAATCTCAATTCGACTAAGTATGAGTCGATCTTCTTGTTCCATGCCCTAGGTAAGTATGAGTCGATATTCTTGTTCCATGCCCTAGGTGCCTGCTTGAGGACATATGGCGCTTTGTGCAACTTATATACTTTACTCGCTTCCTTCTGAATCACAAATCCTGGAGGTTGTGTGACATAGACCTCTTCATCTAAAGGACCATTTAGAAATGGTGATTTTACATCTAAGTGAAATGTCGACCAACCTTGGTTGCATGCCAATGCTACCACTAGTCGAACAATCTCCAATCTTGCTACTGGAGTAAATACTTCAGAATAGTCGAGTCCTTCTCTTTGAAGAAACCCTCGAGCTACTAATCTTGCTATGTCTTGATATCGACCCATCTGCATTACGTTTCAACTTGAACACCCACTTTACTTCGATAGCTTTTGTATGTGCTAGCAATTTGACTAACTCCCACATGTTGTTTCTTTCGATTGCCTGTAACTCTTCGACCATATCTAACTTCCACTTTTTAGTCTTCAAAGCTTTGCTATGAACTAATTCTCTATCTGGTGTGACTTCATCATCACCCACCACTTCATAATCATGAAGTCTTACTGGAATAACTGTATTTCTTTGAGGTCTTTGGCTTGTTTCAGCCACAGCCTCTTTGACTTCGATTGTGTTGGGAATGTCAACAACTGCTTCTTCTTCGACTTCAACTGGATTCTCAACAACTCCTTTGACCTCTACTTCATCAGTTTCTTCATCGACATTATGGTCAACAACAACTTTCAAACTTTGAACTTCACTCGAACTGATCATAGTCTTGAATGTCCTGTTCTTCGACAACGCATATTTTAAGACCAAATTGTTCTTGGTGTCGAACAATTTTAAAACTCCATCTTTCATGACAATTGAGAAACCTTTTTCGACTAGTTGTCCAACACTTAACAAGTTTCACTTTATTCCAGGTACATAAAGCACATCTTTGATCATAACTTTCCTTCATTACTCATTTGAAAGACTATGTTGTCAATACCTTTTGCTTGCAACAAACTATTATCAGCAAGTTTTATCTTGCTCTTCTTCGACTCGTCAAAATCTTTCAACCACTATGTTCGACCAGTCATGTGGTTCGAGCAGCCTGAGTTGAGAAACCAGATTTTGGATTCGACATGGTTATCTGCAACTGCAACCATAACCACCATACCACCTTCAGAATCATCTGAATCTTAGCGTGCAAGGTTCGCTCCTTTGTCCTTGCTTGTTGATCCCTTATCTTTTCTGTACCAACGATTTTTGGCTACGTGACCCCACTTTTCACAGTTATAGCACTGCACACCTTTTTTATGTTCTTTGCCCTTTCGATAGTTTCCTCCTCCTCCTTTCGAGGATTCAAAATCTCTATCTTCGACCTGATGTTTGTGAGGTTTCGACCAAGACTTCTTGTCCTGAGTCTTGTCGAACTTGCCTTTGGATTTATTGGAACCACCATCCTTTTTCCATGACTGAGCTTGCAGAGCCTGTATCGATTCTTACACTCCTTTCCTTTCGATAATCCTCATCTCATGCGCCTCCAACGAACCAACAAAATCTTCCACTTTAGTGGTTTCAAGATTGTTGGATTCTTGAATAACTATGATAACATGATCAAAGTGAGATGTCAACGTTCTCATTACCTTCTCTACCATAATCTTATCAGTTATGGTTTCACCACAACCCTTCATGAGATTGACGAGTTTTTGAACCTTCGACACATATTCTGCAACTTTTTCATCTTCTCCCATCGATAACAACTCACCTTGTCGACAAAAGATTTGTAGCTTGACAACCTTGACTTTCTCACCTCCTTCGTAATACTTCACCAGAATATCCCATGCCTCCTTCCCCGTTTCAGCATGAGAGATTCTGTCGAAATTAGTAGCATCGACCGCCGTCTGAATGCAATAAGCAGCCTTGTAATTTTTCTTCTTGACTTTGTTGTGGGCTTTTTTCTGTTCGTCGGTTCCGTTTGCAGCCAACGCAGGAATGTCGTCGGTAACCACTTCTAGGGTTTCATGGAAGCCAAACAAGGATTGCATATGTTTTTTCCATCGAATCCAATACTTACCGTCAAGCATTGGAAGAGAATTTGGAATGCCCTTATCACTAGCCATCTTCGCATCGGTTGATTCACTTGCCCTAGAAACACGATCTCTGACGTGAAATTCTTGAAAACTCGATCAAGAACAATAACCGAAAGCTCTGATACCAATTTGTTAGTGCGTATGACACTTTTAGTGAGGAGAGAATATAAAGAATAATAAAGGAAATAAAGATTTATATTATTGAATTGTACAAATAATGATACAGATTAGAACTATTTATATACAATCTTAATTGGACTTGGGTGTACACAACTTGAATTATATTTAAATATTAAATCTAATCAAATCAAGTCTAATTTAATATTTCAAAGGGATGTGATAATTAATCTTTGCTTGTATATTGGTTATTCACGAGCCATTTTTCTATACTCATGCAATACAAGTGACACACATTCATAACCATATCAAAATTATAGTTCATATTTTGTATTGCTATTGGTCTAACACATAAGTACACTTATCAAACTCAACACAAAGGCACTGATTAATCTCAATTTATGAGATATAATGAAGATATCTCATGCCCAGAAAATAAAATCCAGATGCAACCTTTCTGGTTGGAGGACGATAGGAAAGTCAAAATTTGATTAATGAAGTTAATTTAAATGAGTAAGCGTATGAATGGAAACGTTCTGGCTAAATGGTGATAGTGCTCACAATAAGAATGAGAGTTGAGATATTAAAGAGAAATATGTTACTGAATGCAAGGGGAAGGAGAATGTGTGTTATATTAAAGGTGTCTTTGGATGTTACTATCCTTAAAAGGATTTTTATTATTGTTTAATTGAATTGCACTATTTCTTAGGCTAACTCAGAAGAGAGAGAAAAGAAAAAAAACAAATTGGATTGAACTTTGAGGTGTGTAAGATAAATCTCTGAAACAACCATTTCAGGGTTTTAGCATTCTATTGTACAACACCATCGGCAAATAGTGAGTCTTCAATTAGCATCGCAATTTTTTCAATTCAATGATTCATAATCGCCGATTGCTTTTTACTACTTCCAATCTCTACAAACTCACCCATCATTTTTCCTTTCTTTCTCGCCCTCATTCCTTCGCTTCCCCAACACCCTTTTCCGCAAAGTTAACGTCTTTACATTCTACAACTAGATTCACCTCCACCTGGAGAACCCCAGGTTTGTTCAAAGATTCCAACTTTTTAGGTCAAGTTAGTTTATTAAGATGTTACTGTAATAATAATAGTGGTGGGTCAAAGGAATGGACTGAGGAAATTGAGTATTTGGATGAATCTGGTAGTGTTATTTATAAGGGTAAGGGTGTTAGGTCTGTAGTGCCTGGGATTGATGATCATGTTATGGTGGGTGAGGTTAAAAAGCCCTTTTTGAATGCTTTAGCTGTGGCTAAAATTGTTGAGGTTGTTAAGAGATGGAAGTGGGGTCCAGAATTGGAGACCCAATTGGACAAACTTCAGTTTGTACCAAACATGACTCATATTGCTCAGGCTTTGAAGGTTATTAATGATGGTGATGCTTGTTTGAGTTTGTTTAGGTGGTCTAAGAGACAATCTTGGTATTCGCCGAGTGATGATTGTTATGTTATGTTGTTTGATGGTTTGAATCAGCGGAGGGATTTCGATGGGATACAGTCGTTGTTCGATGAGATGGTTGCTGATTCTGGGAATAGTGGGGTTTCGTTGGTTGTTTCGTGTAATAGAGTGATTCGGTACTTGGCTAAGGGTGAGAGATTGGAAGTTGCTTTTTGTTGCTTTAAGAAAATACAGGATGGTGGTGGTGAGGTTGATACCGAAACGTATAATTCGCTTATTACTTTGTTTTTGAATAAGGGTTTGCCTTATAAGGCGTTTGAGATATATGAGAGCATGGAGAAAGCTAATCGTAAATTGGATAGTTCGACTTATGAATTGATGATTCCGAATTTGGCAAAGTCGGGCCGACTTGATGCTGCTTTCAAACTCTTCCAAGAAATGAAAGGAAGAGATTTCCGGCCGGGTTTAAACATCTTTGCATCACTTGTTGATTCAATGGGGAAGGCAGGGAGGTTGGATGGTGCGATGAAAGTATATATGGAGATGCGAGGTTACGGATACAGGCCGCCCCCTACCATATATGTCTCTTTGATTGAATCCTATGTGAAATCTGGAAAGTTAGAAACCGCTCTGAGGCTTTGGGATGAGATGAAATTAGCAGGGTTCAGGCCTAACTTTGGCTTGTATACATTGATCATTGAATCTCATGCAAAATCAGGGAAGCTTGATATTGCTATGTCTGCGTTTTCTGATATGGAGAAAGCTGGATTTCTACCAACTCCATCTACATATGCTTGTCTCTTGGAAATGCATGCTGCGTCTGGACAAATCGATCACGCCATGAAGCTGTACAATTCAATGACTAATGCAGGTTTAAGGCCTGGCCTAAGCACTTACACCGTTCTTTTAACTCTACTAGCTAATAAGAAGCTGGTGGATGTTGCTGCCAAGATTCTACTTGAAATGAAGGCCATGGGATATTCCGTGGACGTGACAGCTAGTGATGTTTTGATGGTGTATATCAAGGAAGGTTCAGTTGATCTTGCTTTGAGGTGGCTGCGTTTCATGGGTTCGTCGGGGATCAGAACCAATAATTTTATAATCAGGCAATTGTTTGAGTCGTGCATGAAGAATGGGATATACGAGTCAGCGAAGCCTCTTCTTGAAACATATGTTAACTCTGCCGCCAAAGTTGATTTGATACTTTACACCTCAATTTTAGCTCATCTTGTTAGGTGCCAGGAAGAAGAGAATGAGAGGCATTTGATGTCTATCCTTAGCGCAACAAAGCATAAGGCGCACTCGTTTATGTGTGGACTTTTCACAGGTCCGGAACAGAGGGGACAACCAGTGTTGACTTTTGTAAGGGATTTCTTTCAAAGTATTGATTATGAATTGGAGGAAGGTGCTGCAAAGTACTTTGTCAATGTTCTTCTCAATTACCTAGTTCTTATGGGACAGATAAATCGAGCGCGGTGTGTTTGGAAGGTTGCTTATGAGAATAAACTTTTCCCAAAGGCTATAGTTTTCGATCAGCACATTGCTTGGTCCCTTGACGTTAGAAACTTGTCGGTTGGAGCCGCGCTTATAGCATCAGTGCACACTCTTCACAGGTTTAGAAAACGTATGCTGTATTACGGTATTGTCCCCAGACGGATTAAATTGGTGACAGGACCAACGTTAAAGATTGTTATTGCGCAGATGTTAAGCTCAGTAGAGTCTCCGTTTGAGGTGAGTAAAGTGGTTCTTAGGGCGCCAGGAGATTCGGTGATGGAATGGTTTAAGAAACCAATAGTTCAGCAGTTTCTTCTGAATGAAATTCCATCTAGGGCTGATATTTTGATGCATAAGCTGAACATACTTTTCCCTAATTCTGCACCTGAAATCAGATCTTTATCCCCTCCTAAACCTCTAATTGCAGGCAGGGCAATGTAAACAGTTCTTGGTATCTTACAGGTGTTCGAGATGCAGACTCTTCATATGTTCTGTATAAACAGATATGTACGATTTGAGAATATAGAATAAGATCTTTTTAGATTTATATTCTTTTCCTTCAAAAGTTGTGAAGTAATGCATAAAAACTCAAATCCTTTGACATGATTAAGGTTTTTGTGACAAAATGTTTAGGGTAGTCATATACGTTAACTCTTTCTTATTTACTACAGTCATTATAATCATTATGCAGTAACATGCTTTAACTTGGTCTCGGGCCGGAATACTTTCTTTCGATGAAACTGTTAAGGTCTATAGGTTCTGTAGTGAGTTATGTGAAGGGAAATGTGAGTAATGCACATTCCATCTTTAGTTGTGCCTGGAACACGTTTGAAAAAAAAATTCAAAAATGTCATTCTTGCGTCAGGAGATTAGGGATGGCAAAATTCAAAAATGCTATTTTTGCGTCCTTATAGTATCAGTCCTTATATTTGGGGTTTGAAAAAATCTCCGTGCCCGAGTCTATACCTTTTGTACTTGTATCTGTACCCTATGGATATTTAAGTACTCATACTCATATACTTGTGTATCCACTTTTCTGATAAAAAAATTATCAATCAGTTTTAATTTATCACGTTATTTTAAGTTTTTAAGAACATTTAAACAAATTTAAGAATGTTATTGTTGAGTTAAGAAATAAACAAAAGACTTTTATTAAAACACATACAAGTTTAATAGTGATGTATTAAAAAAATGATAAGCATACATTTATACATAATAATAAAAGTAAAAATATATATTGTGCGGACATTGTCCAAATATTGAATTTTTTAAAGCAAAATGGAATTTTTTTTAGTAATAATCATGTTTTGAAAAAAAATAATACACAAAGAATCATGTTTCTGATAAATTTACGCAAATGATCATGTTTTAGAAAGTGTTATAATGCAGTAGCCATCTCAGATGGCGCATGCATTGACTTTTTTAAAGGAGGCGTCAAGTGGGATGACGTATAGTCATCTCATAGTTTATTTTTTCAATTTTTTTCCTTCTATTTATCTGCGGATTTTCCTGTAGATTTGACTTTTCCTGCGGATTTACTTGGATTTACCTGCGGACTATTTTTTCGCAGATAATTTTGTAGGAAAATCTACACGTTAGTCGCAGGTAATGTCAAATCTGCAGGAAAATCCGCAGGTAACTAAAAAAGTTTGAAAAATATATAGGAGGCGCCAATTCAAGTGACACCTCCTCTTTAATTCACTTTTTTTTGGAAACATGGTTATTTGTGTAATTTTCTCCGAAATATGGTTATTTTCATAATTTTCTCCGAAACATGATTATTTGTGTATTCTTTTTTCAAAACATGGTTAGTGCTAAAAAACATTCGCCAAAATACATACTGTTGTACCCCAAAATTTTCCCTCCCATATTTCTCAATACATGTCAAGTGAGATCCTCAAATTGCTCAAGGAGGTCCAAGAGTTGACCAGACAAACTCTCTCCTAAGGCAGTCTACCTCAAATTAGGGTTTCATTTTGCATCAAGATGCTTGAGTCCAAAGGATCCCAAATTCTCATCATTGTCCTAATATGTTCTTAAGATCATCCATGTCAAGTTTCAAGCCTCGCAGAGGAAGTTTGCTCAGACAATTGCTCAAATACCTAGAAATCGACTGTGATAGGTCAAGAGTCAACTATGGCCCACATACAGTCAAACTTCAAGATTTTTGGTCAACATCCTCATTTTGAAGTATCATTCATTATTTGATCAAGGTTTGATCATGATTCATCAATGATTGCCCACAATTCATCAAAACTCAAAAGTTGCTAAATTAGGGTTTTGCAAGAAAAGTCAACTCAACTTTGACCAAGCATAACTTTCTCATACTTTATCAAAAATGACCCATCCAAAGCTCATTTTGAAGAGGATTCAATTATATACAATTCATCTTCAGCTCCCAAGTTCAAAATATGCACTCACAAGAAGATATGAATTTGGACATTATAGGTCATTTTGAAAAGTCAACAAAAACACCTTTTGGGTCAAGGCTTCATACATGAACATGGATGACTCAATTAAGATGATACCAAAAGGGTTGCTTAGAGGACATCTTAAGCTTTCTAAAAATTCCAAGAACACCCTCTTAGGGTCAAAATTGAGAGAGATATGCATTGTCAAAGTTGACCTTTTTGCAAAATTGCCAAAAGTCAAATATGCTCAAATTTGCATCTTTTGCTAAATGGGCTCAACTTTTTATGCTTGCATATCATTCCTAACATAGTCCACGACCTATGGGACCATCCATGCTTTATTTATTCATTAATTTAATTTATTTTTATTTTTATTCATTTAAAATTCAAATAAAATCAAATAAATCCTAATAAATCATACATTGTATTTTAGGGATGATTTGTGCATTGAAAAAAGATCTCATATGCTGTCAATTGAAGATCAACTCGTGCAAAGGCAATTTGGTTTGAAAAAGATTGGATTTGAACAAAATTGGAAAGGAATCATATGCATTGAAAGAGTAAATCAAATCTCCACGATGAGCAAGATTGAGGTCATTTTTGTTGACCTAATAAGTTGTGCTACATATACAGAAGCAAGCCAAGGCATATAGGGGTTGGAAGCAGTCATGCAAAGAGAAAACAAAACTCAAAAAATTGCAAGAAAAGTAGTGATTCAATCTCCACGTTAGAGACCAATTCATACAATTCTCACGATACCAACAGGTTCTTGGACATCTCCAGAAGGAATCCCATCCATTTGCAAGCTCTCTCACGCCTGGAATTGTGAGATACAGGTATCACGACTTGTTTCCAAATTCAAATTTGTTTTCATTGATTTACTCATCCATTGCATATTTTGATGATATATTCATGTTTGTCATTAAGTTTGCAAACTTTTGGTATCATTCAATTGAATTTCTAACGCTTGTACATGAAGTTTCCATATCTAGGGTTCCGTCTTCTTGATTAGGGCTTTGCAGGATAGGTAAAATTGGACATTGATTCTGGTACCATGAGACTCGTGTGGATGAGACGAGTTGATTGGTACCAGCCATGATCATTTATATTGCCTATGGACCATTTTTGAAATACACAAATTTGTAGCTACAGTGCCATGTCTGTAGGTAAAGGTGTTGTTACCTAAAGCGATGGTGGGGAGGAAGAAGATGGATGCGTGACACCCCCTGGTTGGGCAGTTTGAAATTTTGCGCGTTTTTCTTATTTAACCATCGTGTTTGATATGTTATGTATTATTATTATTATATGTACAACAGAAGCGCGTAGCTCAGATGGTAGCTTGGGGGTGGAAAAGTGCAAAGGACCTGGGTTCGATTCCCAGGTCCCAACCTTTGTTCTTAATATTTTTCCACAGGTAATCTAATGCTTTGCAGGATAAGGTGCTCACCGTGCACCATCAAGATCTGGCCCTCTGATTCATCAATGTCCCCAGATCAAACATGCCACCTTGGAAGGACCACTGTACGCCTGAGTCAAACATGCATACTGGATTAGGGCGAAGTCAAACAGGCCCCTGTCCATTTGGGCCCAGGAATTTATATTCCAACCCCCTTTTTTTTGCTAATGCAGGCCCATCGCATTTTTCTTTGCTTATTTTTTTAAATTCTTTTATTACATTATTTAACTATTTTTAATTCACTAATTAACCTTTTTTTTAATAAAATCATAAAATCAATAATTCACAAAAATTAGAATTAGACTTTTTTTAATGAATTTTATCAATTATTTTAATTTAGTCTAATTTAGGGAAATTATAATTTGTTTTCATAAATAAAATAAAAAATAGAAATTAGGTTCACTTCTGATTTAATTTTATTTTGCTCTTTGTCTCAAATAAATAAAATACAAAAATAGGTCGTAGATTAAAATTAATTTAATTTATTTTTCGTAATTTAAAATTAATTAGACTTAGGATTTTCCTTTAATTTAACAATTCCATTATTTTCTTAAAACAAAAAAACATTTTTTTAATTAATCGCAATTAGGTTTAGGCAAGGGTCAAAACCCTAATTATCTCGTATTCGATTCACCGCGCGCATATTATTTATTTTTCATCAATATTGTTGTAACTGTGCATGGTTTGTAATAGTTTAATCTAGGGTTTTTATTTATTGCTTTTTCTCGGGGTTTTGGCTATGTAATTAATCCCCCTCCCCGAAGCCTTGTAATAGCGTAGATTTACTTTCTCGCATTTTAATTGTCCCAAATATTTAACTGTCTAGATGTATGTTAATATGATTGTATGATAAGATTGCATGATATTTAATACAGTTAGAAAACTCTAATGTGCAAAGACAAATAACTGAAACAAAACACTCGCACATATCACTCTTAGGGTATACTCACACTTCGGTTGCCTTCGGTAAATGATTACAAAGAATAGGGTGTTTTAGTGGTTACCCTTCTGTCTAAAAAAGATCAAATGTCCCGTTCAGATGTTGCCTCAGAATGTTGCCTCGAAAATGTTGCCTCGAAAATGTTGCCTCGAATATGATCTTAAGACTCTAGGGTTTATTACTGAGTCATCTTAGCATTGCTTTAGTGATTGTACGTCCCTTTCGAATTGACCCTTACAACTCCAACGACGGTGCTACCTATTTCTCAATAGTAGGATAGCGCTGTCTAAAGGAAACGAGAATAAAAACAATCTTTTTTTGAGTACGTAGATGCTAGTAGGTACTTGCTCAAATTAAAACTTTTTCCCACTTACACTTTTCAAACAAACTTTTAAAACAAACTTCGTCACACCTTTGAGGACTGATACAAGGGTTAGCACAGAGTCAAACATTTCAAAAACAAAGCACATACACAAGCAATTTAAAAAATGAGCAAGTACCTAAGAGCCCATGGAAAACCATGGATAAAAAGGGTGCTAATACCTTCCCTTTCTATAATCTACCCCCCGTACTCAGAATATCTCAAAAAATGATTTTTTCTGTACTTTTTTCCTTTCCGGTTGGATGAAATAAA